CTCTTGGGGCCCTGGTGGGCCTTCCTAGTGTCTTTTGGGCCCTCTCGGGGCCATCTTTGGGGTCGTCTTGGCCCGTCTTGAGGCCATCTTGAGCAGTATTTGCGCACTCTTTGGACCCCTAAAGAGGCCCCAGTGGCCCAATCTTATAGGCTTACTCCACATCCGCCGGCCCCTGTGACTTTCATGGATGAATGCGTGCGTTGTTTTCCCTGACGTACCTGGCGTGAGTCATGCACGCATGGGGGAACGGGCGAAAACCGTCGACCGACAGCGGGCATCTATCAACAGAATAATCGAAGACGCCTACGGCGAATCACCGCCGCCCCCTGCCTTTGTGGAAGCGCTTGTGTGGCCGAACGTTGAGGCCAGACCTGCCAAGATATCGGACCATGTGTTCCCCGAATCGGGTTGGAAAGCCTTCGGGGAACACGTGGGCATCTTGAAGGTCATCTTGGCCGCCTGGAGGCCATTTTGACCCTCTCGGGCCTTTCTGGAGGACGTCTTGGAGGGCTCTTGGGCAGTCTTGGAGGCCACCTTGAGCGTCTTGGATGCCTCTTCGGCCGTCTCGGGCCGTCGGAAGGCCGAACAAAAAGCAAATGTCACAATCCTTCAAAAACTCATGGGAAATCAATGCTTTGGGCCTTTTCTAGCCTTCCTGGAGGCCCTCCTGGAGGCCTCTTGGACTGTCTTGGGCAATCTTAGTGCCATCTTCGGCCGTCTTTGTGGGCCCCTGGCCCGCCCGACGCCGTCGGAAGCCGTTTGGGGGGCCTCTCTGAGCCGACTTGGGGCTCTCTTGGGGTGCTCCAGGGCCGTCTTGGAGACCATCTTGGGCGTCTTAAAAGCGTTTTGGTGGCCTCATGCGCCGTTCTGGGGCCATCTTGGAGGCATCTTTGGCGATCCTTGCGCGATCGTTGGGGGCTCTTGGGCTGTATCGGGCAGTCGGAAGGCCGAAACGAAGCAAATGTCAAAATCCGTCAAAAACTCATGGGAAATCAATGATTTCGGCCTTTTCTAGCCTTCCTGGAGGCCCTCTTGGAGGCCTCTTGGGCCGTCTTGGGCCCCAACTTCGGCCATCTTGGTGAGCTCCTGGCCCGTCTGACGCCGTCGGAAGCCGTTTGGGGAGCCTTTCTGGGCCGACTTGGGGCCCTCTTGGGGAGCTCCAGGGCCGTCTTAGAGGCTATATTAGGCGTCTTGGAGGGCTCTTGGGTCGTCTTTGTGCCCTCTTGGGGCCGTCTTGGGGGCCTCTTGGGCAGTCCCGAGGCCATTTTGGATGCCCCTTGGGCGCTGTGGGGGCGATCTTGGGGGCCTCTTGGGCCACCTTGGGTCGTCGGAAAGCCGAGAAGAAGCGAATGCGACAATCCGACAAACACCTAAGGACCATCAATGTGTTTGGCCTGGCCTCTTCGGGCCCTCCTGGAGGACCTCTTGGAGGCCCCTTGGGCCGTCTTGGAGGCCTCTGGGGGGACTCCTGGGCCGTCTTCGGCCGTCTTGGACTCTCTTGGGCCGTATGGGAGGTCATCTTGGACCATCTTGGGCGGATTTGGAGGCCATCTTGGACCATCTTGGAGGCCATCTTGGGCCAACGTGGCCGTCTTGGAGACCATCTTGGGCCATCTTGAGCGAAACGTTGTGAGAATTCTGGGCCTTTCGGGTGGCCCGCCGGACGGGCCGACGCCCCAGGGGGAGTTCTTTTGGAAAAAGAACCAAAACCAAAACCGAAATAATTTAGCACGCCAGGCACCCCTGCGATGAATCGACAGGGGGCGACGGATCGAAGACGCCTACGGCGAATCACCGCCGCCCCCTGCCTTTTTGGAAGCGCCTATGTGGCCGAACGTTGAGGCCAGACCTGCCAAGCTATCGGACCATGTGTTCCCCGAATCGGGTTGGAAAGCCTTCGGGGAACACTTGGGCATCTTGAAGGTCATCTTGGCCGTCTGGAGGCCATTTTGACCTTTTCGGGCCTTCTTGGGGGACGTCTTGGAGGGCTCCTGGGCCGTCCTGGAGGCCATCTTGAGCGTCTTGGAGACCTCTTGGGCCGTCTTGGGGGCCTCTTGGGGCCGTGTCTTGGGCCTCTTGGGCGATCTTTGGGGACATTTGGGCCGTCTCGGGCCGTCGGAAGGCAGAAACAAAGCAGATGCCACAATCCTTCAAAAACCCATGGGAAATCAATGATGTTGGCCTTTTCGGGCCTTCCTGGAGGCCCTCTCGGAGGCCTCTTGGGCTGTCTTGGGCCATCTTAGGGTCATGTTCGGCCGTCTTGGTGGGCTCCTGGTCCGTCTGACGCCGTCGGAAGCCGTTTGGGGGGCTTCTCTGGGCCGACTTGGGGCCCTCTTGGAATGCTCCAGGGTCGTCTTGGAGGCCATCTTGGGCGTCTTGAAGGCCTCCTGTGCCGTCTTGGGGGCCTCTTGGGGCCGTCTTGGGGCCCTCTTGGGCCGTTCTGGGGCCACCTTGGAGGCCTCTTGGGCGATCTTTCGGCGATCTTTGGGGGCTCTTGGGCCGTCTCGGGCCGTCGGAAAGCCGAAAAGAAGCAAATTTCAACATCCGTCCAAAACCTAAGGAAAATCAAGGTTTTTGGCCTCTTCTAGCCTTCCTGGAGGCCCTCTTAGGGGCCTCTTGGGCCGTCTTGGGCCAGCTTCGAGCCAACTTCGGCCATCTTGGCGGGCTCCTGGCACGTCTGACGCCGTCGGGAGCCGTCTTGGGGGCCTTTCTGGGCCGACTGGGGACCCTCTTGGGGCGCTTCGGGGCCGTCTTGGAGGCCATCTAGGGCGTGCTGGAGGCCATCTTGGGCGTGTTGGAAGCATCTTGGGCCATCTTGGGCCCTCAGTTCGAACCGCCCCCCCCCCTCCCCGGACGGGGTGGGGCTGCCCTCCCTAATTCGAACCACGCGCCCCCCACCCCCGTCAGGGAGGCCGGGGTCCAGGAGGGCAGAGGCGCTCAGGTCTTTTTTTTTATTTGGGGGGGGAGGGGGGGCGGCCTCAACGTGTCGAGGTGTTCTTGTTCCAGGCGAGCGTCCACGAAAAGCTTTCTCTCCGAATTCGACGTCGACCCCCCCGCCCCGCGCGTAGCAATTTTACTCTCCACGATCTCCTCGACGGTCGGAACCTCGTCGGTCTTCAAAAGGTCAGAATCCTTCGTGCTCACCTTAGCGATGGTCTTCTCGAACAGCGTGCTCGTGACTATTTCGGCGAGATCGTGCAAGAACGGGAGTTCATCCTCGGGGCCAAATTCGTCGTCGGCCCACCTGCTCCCCGTGTCGAGCGCGTTCGGCATTCCCTTTGCTCTTCGTTACCGGATCCAGCGCCGCAGCGTTGGTGCCCAGCTCGGGTTGCGCGTCGATCGTTGCCTTGGTCTCAATCTTGGGCTCCTCATCGGCGTTTTTCCGTCGCGGACGTGGTCTCAATCTTGTGCTCCGCACTGGTTACTTTCCTCACCGCCTGAGCCGCCAACAACGCCGCCTCCTGGACCGTGTCCCTGATGCCAGTCTGCACGCCCACCAGCGCGCGGCAAAACGCCCAGGCGATCTGCCGAGCCTCCACTGCGGGCTCCCCACAGCGGCCGACGGCCGTGGCGATCGCCTCGCCCGCCTCCTCGACCCCCGCGCCCGAGCCCGAGCCGATGCAGCACGCCAGAGCCGCCTCGCCGACCGGCACGACCTGCTCGTCCGATGCCGCCGGCCCCGCGCCGCCGCGGGCGCCCGCCGCGCCCGCGCCGGCAGCCCACTGGGGCCGCTTGCCCGCGGCGTCCGCCGTGCCCCCCCTCCCGACGAGGACGTCCGCCCGCCCTGGCCGTCGACGAGCTCGTGCTCCGCGGCGTGGCGCCAGGCGCGGCGGCCTCCAGGGGCGCGCGGGGAGCGCGCCTCGGCCGCGGCGCGGCGCGGACGCCCTCCGCTGCTGCCGAGGCGGGCCATCACCCCGCCGTGGTCGCCGCCGCCCCCTCCGCCCGCGGGTGCGCCCCGCACGGCGCGGAGCCCCCGCCATGGCTTCCCTCGGGGGGCTCCGCCCTCGGCCGCGCGGCGCACCGGCCGCGCGCGCCAGCTCCGCCACGAGCGCGCGCACCGCGCGCGCGCGCGGGCGGGGTCCCCGCACTGCTCCTCCTCCTCCTCCTCCTCCTCCACCTCCTCCTCCTCCTCCTCCACCTCCTCCTCCTCCCCCTCTCCCCCTCCTCCTCCCCTCCTCCTCCTCCTCCTCCTTCCTTCACCTTCCTCCTCCTCCTCCTCCTCCTCCTCCTCCTCCTCCTCCTCCTCCTCCTCCTCCTCCTCCTCCTCTCCTCCCCCTCCTCCCCCTACCCCGCCGGGGTCGCGGCGGCGAGCGAGAGGACCGAGCCGCTTCCCCACGGGGCGGCGGGGCCCCGGGGAGCCCAGGAGCGCTGTGCCCTCACGGAGCCCAGCGCGGGCTCGAGCGGGAATGCCGGAGGGGAGGGGTGGAGGAGGGCGCGGGGCCGGCGGATGGCGCGTCGGGGAGGAGGGGTGCGAGGAGGGGGGGAGGAGCACGGCGGGGAGGGAGGGGGAGGGGGGCAGGAGGGGGGAGCGGGAGGGCAGGAGGGGAAGGGGGGAGGCGGCTGGAGAAGGGAGGGACGGACGATCCCCCGTCGGGACTCGGAGCGACAGTGACGGCAACGACGAGGACGAGGACGAGGACGACGACGACGACGACGACGACGGCGACGGCGACGACGACGACGACGACGACGACGACGACGGCGACGGCGACGGCGGCGGCGACGACGACGACGACGACGACGACGACGACGACGACGACGACGACGACGGCGGGGAGCATGCGGTCGAGGATGAGGACGACGATGCGGACGAGAAGGAGGGACAAGGAGGAGGAGGAGGACGAGGTGGGCGAGAACGAGGACGACGGACGTCCGACGACCGATGACGGTCGACCGAGGAACCGAGGACCGACGACTGACTGACGACCGGCCGACGGCCGACGACCGACGACAGGCGACAGACGACGACCGGCTGTGGGCTTCGCGCGGCGCCGCGCCAGGCGCTGAAGACGGCCGTCCCGGCGCTATGCGGTGGGCTGTGCGCCGGCCGCCGAGCCCCAGTGGGCCCAGCCAAAGCACCCCGACGGGCGAAGACAAGAAGGATCCCGGGGGCCGAAAACGCCAGGCTCCACGCAGCCTTAGCGGATCGTGCGGCGACCACGGGGGGGGAGGAGGAGGGGGAGGAGGAGGAGGGGGAGGAGGAGGAGAAGGAGGAGGAGAAGGAGGAGGAGGGATGAGGAGGGAGGAGGAGGATGGAGGAGGGAGGAGGAGGCGGAGGAGGGAGGTTGTGAGGGGGAGGAGGATGGGTGAAGGAGGAGGGAGGAGGAGGGCCTATGATGAGGATGATGATGATGAGAGGAGGAGGAGGAGGAGAAGGATGAGGAGGGCGGCGGGGGTGAAGCAGGATGAGAGGGGAGGAGAGACCGTACCACCTGTCTCTCCCAGAGGACACACTGCCTGACGAGCGGTCGTCTGTTAATTCTGTCATTGAACCTGAGACTGTCCTATAACGATGAAAAAAAAAAAAACCTGCTGGAAACGTCATTACCCTCCTCCTATCCTCATCCCATAACTCCCGAACGTCATTCTCGCTCCCGCAACAAAGGTCTTCACTATAAGAACACTTCATGGATCGAGAAACATGCACCAGTTAAAGTAACAAGCACATCGGAATCGTTCAGTAACTTCGAAACAGCTGATGGTACAACACGATCGACAACAAGAGTATGATGAGAACGAATGTCTACATACTTGACGAATCTATTATGAAGCTCTACGACCAGGTGGTAAAGTGTTTTTCATATTGTCTTGCAAAGTTGTAGGGTAATAAGCCGTTGACTCCCTGGAACATGTAGGATCAGGATGAGAAAGAGGTGGAGGAGGAGGAAGAGAAGCATGAGCCGGGACAAGTTTTGACCATCAGCTAGTTTTCTCGCGCAAAGCGCGAGGAGAAGAAACAGGAGGTCAAGAGGAGGAGGAGGAAGAGGAGGAGGAGGAACCCTAACCAGGACAATAGTCAAAACGCCTCTAGATGATACATCGTTTGGCTTGGTAGGGGGTCACACATTGGTTTGGCGAAGACGGAGAAGGAAAGGAGAGGGAGGATGTGGTGTAGGAGGAGAGGGCGAGCTGGCGCAGGAGGAGCAGCGAGGAGGAGGAACAGGTGGAAGAGGGATATGTTTTCGAGTACGTCCATAGCGATGACGATGACGATGAAGATGGTGATGTTGATTATGATGATGATGCTGATGATAATGATGATGATGGTGGTGATGATGATGATGATGATGTTGATGTTGATGATGATGGTGGTTTTGGTGGTGATGGTGATGACGGTGGTGATGGCGATGGTGATGGTGATGGTGATGGTGTGACGGTGATGGTGATGGTGATGATGATGTTGATTAATGGCATTGGCATTTCTATCAATATTGTGAGGCCTTCCTCCAGTGCTGTTAAGATTGCTGTTGCATTACGGTGGTGCCCTTGATGCGTCTGGTAATAACGATGGCGACGGTGATGGCGACGCTGGTGGGGAGGAGGTGGATGATGATGATGATGATGATGATGGTGATGATGATGATGATGATGCTGATGATGATGATGATGATGGTGATGATGATGATGATGATGATGATGATGATGATGATGATAAGAATGCTGATGATGATTATGATGATGCTGATGATTACGATGCTGATGATGATTATGATGTTGCTGATGTTGGTGCTGATGTTGATGAGACTGCTGATGATGATGATGATGATGATGCTGATGTTGATGCTAATGATGAGGAAGAGGATGATGCTGATGATGATGATGATGATGATGATGGTGATGGTGATGATGCTAATGATGATGATGGTGGTACTGCTGAGGATGCTGCTGCTGATGCTGATGATGACGGTGGTGGTAGTGATGCTAATGGTGATAATGCTGATGATGATGATTCTGACGACGATGATGCTGATGATGGTGATGGTGATGGTGATGGTGATGCCGATGATGGTACTGATGATGGTGATTGTGATAATGATGGTGATGGAGATGCTGCTGCTGATGATGGTGATGATGATGATGCTAATGCTGCTGTCGTTGTTGATTATGATGGTGATGGAGATGGTGATGGTGGTGGTCATGATGATAGTGGTGGTTGT